GGAGTGAGAGCTGCTACAATTGCTCCCCTCCTCAAACAAACACTGACATATGCCATCCCAATGCCACCTTTAAACAGGAAGGCGCTTGCTGTTTCCAGCCAGAATTACACACCACAGTCCAACAGCACAACCGTGTTCTTTGTAGTAACTGGCATTAGCTGCAGAATTAGCTGCAGTTCTTGCTGTGATGCATCAGGATCAGGGAGCCTGCTTTTATGTGAATATAAGATGTGCGCATTTCTGATCTCCAGGGTTACTGCCAGCCGTACTCCCCCTCCCCCGAAGAGAAACAGACACACAGACACACACGGCAGCTGAGGGCACCGCCTCACGGGAAACCCGATCCCAGCCCTCGCCGTGAGCACGGCCCACGTCTGATAAACGGGAAGGCCGGCCTGTTTGTTCCCAAGCAGACGTGCGCCGTGGAGACACTCAAAATATAAACTCTAACTAAAGCCCGTCTCAGGAGGCAAACTGGGCTCAAAGAGTGTGATTAAAACAGATAAAACGATCTATGAGATGTTACTATGGCAAATCTGAAGAATGGGGCAGAGTAGAGAATGTTTGTGTGTATGTGGAGGGATATTTTATAAAGGTATTTTATTACAGACGCTTGGGACGAGCACAATGAGCTAGTGAATTATAGAGCAACGTGGTCCTCTGGGATGGCCGCCAGCATGGCAACAGGCTCCGCCCCCAGCGACGGCATCGCCCCGGCACCCGCTGACCACCGTCCTGGCACCACGCGGCCTCGAGTCGCACACACCACCCAAAGTTTGGGAGGATGCTGAGTGGCGCCCATTTACACCCAAGCCCAGCAGAGAAAACTGCCGTCAGGCGAAATAAAACAGCGGGTATCTAACTGAGAGCCGTAATGTTTTTATTAAGCAGTAATATTACTGTGCACAAACCGTAAAGGCAGTTTGAAAACACAAACATGTGCAGCCCTCACGCCTGCCAGCTCCACCCCCTCACTTCAAGGCTCTGGGGATGACAGAAGGCAGCCTCACACCCTGGACCCCTCCCATCAGGGTATGCGCATGCATGCAGCGCTTTAGAGGACAAACCACAGTCCTCACTAGGACAAGCAAAATGATGGCAAATAATTTGTTACAGAACAAGTGGCCAAGCAGCACAAAAACTTTTCAGAATTATGTTTGGAATAACAAATCACTTTTTATAGTGAGGTCATAAACAAGCCAATTAGAGTTAACCAATGAGAAGTCAGAACAAGAAGGCAGAACCCAATAGGCGTCTCTCCAACGCGGGCTGTTTGTGCCCACTGGGTGCTGCTGGAGACTACCTTCAATTTTAAAAAGGATTACAAAATTAGCAGATGGACACACACAAAGAGGCAAGCACACTAGGGGGCGTAGTTTGCTCTTGGTTATCGGCTTCCTGACCCATGAAGCCCTGCAGAATCCACATACTGGGTCTGCGTCCTCTGGGGATCAGCCGCTCTTCATTTTTAATTCCGTTATGCCGTAGCAGGGGCCCCCGCTGAATGCCTCGCCTGTTTGGGGGGAGGCCTCGCTAATTAGAGGCAGCAGCTGCCTCTGCTGTGGGTAGAAGCAGGCGTGTGAAAAACACGCGCGCGCGCACACGCACACGCGCGCACACACACACACACACACACACACACACACACACACACACACACGAGAGCGGGGGACACTTCCTGCAGAAATTGGGCCGTCCACGCAACGTAAGGAGACGACGCTCCCCAGCCAGAGGGCGATTACAAGACAGCTTCCTATTGTGGCCAAAGACCTGGGGAGGGGGGCTTGGCCTCCTGATACACCTACAGACATGGTGATGAAATCCGACACAGACATCCGAATGGCTGTGAGAAGCACGACCGGTACAATAACAGTATAAACAGTGCACAAATATGGTGACCAACCTCCGCAAGTCCAAGCAGCAAACTTCAAAATGCATATAAACCCTTTTGTGCAGCCCCCAATTCACAATGACTGATGTTTTGCACTTTAAGCACTATTAAAACCTTTCCCCCAACACTGCTGTTGCATGTCGCGTCCAAGGGGAAGGTTCTTTATTGCCATTGTACACTTATTTTGGATGGTATGAAAGCCCACTAGACAAATGCTGCCCTATTTTTAGCCCCAGCAAGCACTTTCAGTGCAGGCGACAGCTACTCAGCCTTTGCTCCTGTGCAGTCACTCTGCCAAACGTGCAGTTCTGCGAGCAGCTCCAGGCCTGGCCTGACCCCCCCCCCGAGCAGCTCCAGGCCAGGACCAGTAACACTCCGGTTCCTCGTAGTGTGGCCCCCAGCCATCCGCCTCAAAAGAGGAGATCCTTCCCCGCTTTGCCCCCCTGCCCATGCTGAGGGTCTCTGCCATTACAGGGCCCCCTGCTCCCTTATGTAAATGGATTTCATGCCAAATGGACCGCCAGGCCAAGCATAGACACGTCAACCTCAAGAGACAGGTTTCCTATGCAATGGGCTCACCGAGGAATGGGTGGCACTGTATGTTAGCCATTTCCGCCTGGCAGAGGTTGTGCTACCAGGGAGGTGCAGTGGGGGCTTACCATGCATTACATCTGTTAAAATGGGTGCAGGACTTTTTTTAAAAGCATTTATAAAACCCTGACAGAAAATCATTTGGTTTTCCCAAATCCTGAAAACTGTCATTCTTTTTAGTCCTCAGAAATCACTCCTGAATGGCTGAGAAAGTGTCCTAATCTCATTTTAAACAGTCGCCCCCTCAGATGTTCCTCTCATTAGTTGAATATTAAGCATATATCGCCAAACTGGCATGTTTCTGGGTCTCATTGGCCACAGAAGAGTTCAATGACGTGTATCGCCCACCCAACCTGCATATTAACCAACTGAAAGCCAAGAATCTGTGATTATTATGAAGAGAAGGTCAGAGGTGAATGGCATGGCCCCATCTTACTATAATCTCCATTTTTGGGCACTGGATTAGCCATCAGGGTTATTTGTGAGTGCTGGCTACAAGGTCACTCTGGTTACATTTTTAAGACTGTCTGCAGCTTCTGCCCGTATCTGGATGCTATAAAATACTTATCAGAGCCCAAAAATCCTTCCCTGGAATTTTAAAGAGACACACCCAGGGGGGTGTCAGTTTAAAAGTAACCATGCTTTCACCACCTAAGGGCTGGTGATTCCGCACGGAGAGCCGGCACCGGGAATCCGCACCCCTGTATGGGCGCCAGCCGCCTACCCCTCCCTGCCTGTAACATTATACAGTGATGATTTACCACAATTAACAGGCTGAAAAGTAGGCAATCGAGTCGAACGAAGTGAAGCTGGGCAGATTCCAGAACAACGGGACCCACCTGAATTACTGACCTTCCTCATAATTAGCAGACATTACTCAACAAAAAACAAACATTTCAGGAATCTGCTGCCGGAATGCTCAGTTAAAGGACAGGAAGTGACCTCATAAAGGGACAGTTTTTCATAAACACACCCAGAACCTAAACATGTGACCTCACACACTGTGCTATCCCTTCCAGAATACAACACCCGTTTTCCTGGTCTGTTGTCTTGTACATTTTCTCCACACCGATGCCTAGAGAGCCACCTGCCGTCGTTGCACCACCGCCCCGCTCTCTTAACTCCCTTCCCATCATCCCATCCCCATGTCACCCGTCCTATCCAGAGTGAGTCAAGGCATACACACACTTGGCTCGGTCACCTTGTACCATGACTGACCCCTCTCCCCACTCCCCCGCTGGTCCGTGCTCACATCACACTTAACATTCTGGGTCTGAGCACGCGTTTGTCATCACCACACAAGTTTTTGGGTTAAAAATAAATAAATAAATAAACAAATAGAAAGAAAGCACTACTACACAGCACAATGGTGTCTATGATTAATGTCCTTCGATTTCTGGCTTATTTGGAGATGTCTTCAGTGTGATGACAGGGCCATCTTGAAAATTTAAAAAGAATGAAACGCACTGATTTTCATTCAACCATGCTGCAAGCACAACAAAATAGTACTCACACTTGGTTTGCACTGACAATGGGTCCTGTATTTATTTTCCAAATATCTCAGGTTTTATTTGTGGCATCCAGTTGTTCCTGGTTACTCTCACCAGCTCAAATTAAAACAAACTGGACTTTGAGGGCCAAACATCCTGAGGCACGATACAGATAGCTTAGTGTAGGGGTCTCCAACTCCGGTCCTGGAGAGCTACTGTCCAGTAGGTTTTCTATCCTACCCGGCTTCTGATGAGCCACACCTGTTCTCAGGTAAATACTAGGAGCAGGTGTGGCTCATCAGAAGTCAAGTGGGACAGAAAACCTACTGGGTAGTATCTCTCCAGGACCGGAGTTGGAGACCCCTGGCTTTGTGTGAGCACACACTCACACACTCTGCTC